GCAAGGTTCCCTAAATCATTCCGAAAAAAACTAACATGTGTTTCAGTAATCATTAATCTAAACTTTACCTCAACTACATTTTCAGGATGATTCAGGAACTTTTGAGCTTCCAAGACTGGACATTTGTCGACTCTGTGGTTTAGTAATTTGCAAGAGTCACATTGCAATAAACTTGTGTTCACAGGGACTTCACCAGCATTTGCAACATTTGAAGCCACAGATGGACACATTGTTGGAAAATGTCCAGTTCCATTGCATTTGAAACATCGAGACTGTGCAGTTGGTTTTCTGCCCCTCCTCTTGGGTTGTGACTGTGTTGCACTTGGTACAGTATTACTGTTGCCTTCACCTGCACCCTGCAATCCATTTACATTAAATTAAATTAGATATGATCAGGCTCAAGCACTTTACTGTAAACACTGAAATAAAGGAAACCCTAATCTAACGATATACCTGAGGCTTTTTCTTTGCTCTGCCTTTATGTTTTGGTGCAGGTGGATTGGTGTTCTGCAGTGGTCTTTGACCCTGCTCCATGAAAATAAAATAATACATTAAGTAGAGAAAAACTTCAAGATTCAATACATGTAATTAAAACCATCCATACCTGGTTTTGGCCCTCGTTTTGAAATGCAATATATTCTGGGCAGTTTCTCTTTATATGTTTACCTCTACAGTGACTACATTTGTTAACCCCTGTTCCCCTTTTCCGACTTGCCTTTAATGACCCTTTCTTGTTTCTTCTCAATGGCTCATCATTGTCCTTGTTCGGACTGCCTTTTGGTCTTCCAATCTTTATTTTGAATTCATGGGGTTTAATACAGGACCACTGGATTTTGGCCAAAACTTTTGGCCATTTACAGGGACAATAATATATGCATACGCCTTCTCATACATCTCCTTGGAGTAACACTTATCCACAAATGATTCAAGCACGTGGGAATCACGTGCATGAAACCAACCCATCACTTTTTTAAATTCTCAATTTTACCCTTGTTCAAACCGCTGGCCTTCTTGCTGGAACACCAAGTGAAGAAAAGTAGATGGCCACTCTTTAGTGTCAAAGTGGAACAAATTTTCTTTTTAGTTTTGAATGAATACAGTGGACATCTTTTTATGACTTTTGGTGCAATTAATTCTCTAAATTATTACTTGTATTTCATTGCTTGACTACCTTTTACTTCTTTTTTTTTTTTTTGCCTAACATACAAATTCCATGCCAGAAAAAAAAAAAAACCAAAGTTAATGAATTGGAAAGATAGTTAAAAAATCAAAGGTAATACAGTAGGAATGACTGTATTTCTAAATTGGATATCTAAAACTCTCTCATTAATTTTTTTAGTTTTTGCAACCAAAAAAAAAACAAAAGAACTCTTGGCATTATTTTCAGTTGTGTAAGAGCCCTCAAAGACTCATTATGATTGAACCATCAATTAAGTTCAAAGCGGAAAAAAGTAGGGAAAACTGAAAAAATAAAATTGAAGAGGTTAAAATCATTAATAAGTAAAACCGTTTTTTGGCTGTTCAAATTTACTTAATTAAATATGAATTTATGTAATTTTAAACTTGAAAAAGAAAAAAAAAAAAGAGAATTTGGAGAGACTCACAAGTCACATCAAAGGATTATCATGGTTAAAATAATGATAATAATTAATTTTGGGGAGAAAGAGTTAAGTAATACTTATGTAATTAATTGTTTGATGTAAATAATATTTTTAAAAAAACTATTAAAAAAAAAAGTTATGGAAAGGACTACCAAAGTGAATCCATATTCCCCAATTATAATATAGTGTGATTATTAGAATCATTTCATCTCCTTCATTTATTTTTACAATAATTACTTCACAACATTTAAATTTTATTTTATTTTCACTATCCCTTTATCTCCTTTACTGACTTTTTTATTTTGTAACAACAGTTGCACTTGGCTGAAATGTAAGATTGAGTTTGGTAGTATTCTTTAAATATAATTATCAAGTTCACTTATATTTTTTTCTTCCCAAACGGTTATGTCTCTTTGTTTTTTTTTTATTCTCACTACTCTTAAATAATTACTCCATGATTAATTATGTTTCTTTGTTTTCTTTTTGATCCCCACCACTCTTAGATGATTATTCCATGATTAATTATGTCTCTTTGTTTTCTTTTGGGTTAATTCAAGAGAACCCATTTGTGGTATTCCAAACTACATCATAACCCCTTTGTGCTGTATAAATATCTAATAAACCCACTCATACTTAATCCGATGTTTGTAAATTGATAGAAATCGGTAACTGACCGTGCTTGTTACGCACCTCAAATCAGTGTGGGTTTTTTGTTCTCCCCCAATCATTAAATTTTTGTTTCGATATCACCCCTTACACCACCCTTATTTAACTAGACTACTAGAGTATTAGTATTATTTCACATTTTTATCTATTTATCTCTTGCACATCGGCTATAAAGTTGAAAGCTCAACTCAAATTACAATTCAAGATCTAGTTTTTCCTCACTCGACAGCAACAAAGCGACATACAGTACTACGGCAGACATTTGGTTGTCGGCATCGGCGACTACAGATCTTTCATGCTAATTTATATTGATAAAATAATGCTACTCTTTTGGGTGGTGGTATTAATGACCGCAGACCTTGTAGATGATTAATTAGAGGAGGGGGGAGTTAATAGGTTTTATACGGTGATGGTGGTAGTAAAAAATGCAGGGGATGATAATGGATAAACAAAATTAGTGATGGTGGTGAGGTGGTTGTAGGCGGTGCTGTGGTGGTGATGGTGGCGCTGATGATGAAGGCCACGAGGTAACTGAGAAAATGGAAATTAATAGAAAACAACAAGATAATTGTTGTTTTTAAAACATAAAGGCAAAATAAAATAAAATAAAAAAGAGCACTTAAGATATGTGCTTACTTGAAAAACAAACACCTTTCCATATAGCTTCTTTGTTGGTGGCGATGAGGCAACGGCTGACAACAATGATTTGAGTGGTGGAGGTAAATGGTTAAAAGTATCATCGACTGTTGCTCCTAATACACAAGAAAATAGAACAGCATAAAATTAATTGAATTTGTGGAGATGGCAGTTTAAAAGGGCATCTTCGCCATTTAACTTGTTAATGTTAGTCAAAGTTTGTAATTCCTAACCTTACAAATGTCGGAATAAGCATGCCTGGGTTTATTAGATATTTATATTGTACAAGGGGGTTATGATAAAGTTTGAAATATCACAAGGGGGTTATTTTGAGATCCCACTACTCTTAGATGATTACTTCATAATTAATTATTGTTAATAATATAATGAATCTTTAATATTTCATTAGTAATTTCTTCTTTTATTATTATTATTATTATTATTATTATTATTAAGACTATAGAAAAATCATTTCTTATTATTAGGTGAATTTGATCAGTTAAAAAATAGTTTCGGTTATCCTAAGTTCCTAACCATTCTAAATGTTGTTTTTCTTCTTTTCATCTCTTTTTTGAATTTAAAAGGTTCATTAATGATATTTTAAATTGTTAAATAAATAAAAAAAATGTTAAAAGTCATGCATCACCTATATATAGTTCTAAATTGTGTAAATTTTACTACTTCTTTCTTTTTCTTTCTTTCTAAGCCTTTTTTTTATCTCTCTATCTCAAGTTTATTAGAGGTAATCGTCTTTCGTTGTTCATTTTCATATTTTTCTTCCACAATTTAGTTTTTGTTTTAGATTTTTTCTTCTTGTTCTTTACTTTAAGGTAATACATTTGATTTTATTTTATTTCTCACTTTGCATGGTATTTATTTCACAATCGAGATATTGTGTTTCACTCTGTTGAAATCCAAAAGTAACACACTTTAGTTATTTCATTTTGTTCCTATAATGATCATATTTCTTTCGATAAATTTGTTAAATATGATAGATAGTGTAAGAGACAATGATGTAACTGATTTTTTTAATTATTAAATTTTATTCTTTTATATAAGTTATATTTTATTATTATACGTACGCACGAAGTGCCTCTAATCCATCTAGTTTAAAGCAATTGCTTTTGTTCAAGAGGTTTTTAAGTCCCTCCCTACGTGAACCAGCCAACATTTTTTCTAAAAAAAAAATAAAATTAAGTAATTAGTACAATTATGGAATACATTTTTTTTCCTACCTATTCTGTCCCAATTGCCCAAAAAGAAAAATTAAAAAGTGGATAAGTTAATTAGAGCTACTTTCGCTAATCTTTACATGAAGCACTTCTATCGATTTCCCAAAGAACAAAACATTCTTGTGACCTTCCAGCCACATCATCATTGTCATCAATTTCAAAATGTGTATGGGAACCATCAAACGCTGCCGCTTTTGTGAAGGGGGAGTCTTGGCCGAGAAAGGCAAAATATATATATATATATATATATATATATATATATATATATATATTCATATTTGCAAGGTGTCTGTCATCGGCAACAGTGACTAATCTCTCTCGTTGAATTGTAGGCACCTCAGTGGATGGGGCAGCTGGCCAAAATAGTTTCATGCCGATAGTAAAGTTCGAACTCTCGACATATAGTTAAAGGTGGAAGAGTCTCTTCCACTTTACCACAATTACTTTGATTGATACTGAACTGATTGATTGCAAAGAGGATGATTTTCGCTGACACAAAATTGGGCTTCCAGTGAATGAATGAATTGAGGGAAATACAAATTCCAAAAACAAAAATTGAGGGAAATGGCCTAAGAGCTGTCACCATATATTTCATAAATTTGGGCTTTCAGTGAACGAATTGAGGGATATGGCCTCACCATATATATCGTGACAAAGATTCGGTTTTGTTTCGGAAAAGACGGATTCAGTGAATGAACTTTAATATGGAACTTTCGGTACTAATTTTGGATAGAAATATTTTTCTATTCATTCAAGTATTTAGTCAGTGATCAGATGATTTATTCCGGAACAATCTCATCTCATTTTTTATTCCACCTATTTAACAACTAGAAATCTAACATCAGTGGAATCAGGTCCACAACACAGCTTTAAACACATAACAACTTCGAATAATCCTTCTTGTTAGTGATTATTTGATTCAGAAGGCACATAATATTCCATTTCATTATCAACCTTTTCGGTGAATAGCACATGCCTGTGGATTTCAAGGTAAACATGAGATACAGACGGAAACTTGGATCTTTTTTCAGACATTTCTAAGAAATCCACTGAAAAATTCAATAGAATCTTGTAGATCAGGAACAACCTGCTACATTACACAAGTCTATTGATACTAATAAGGTCACTGACATAACAAAATACCCCCAACAAACAGCCAAAGATTAACAGAGATTTAAAGATCAAAAGTTTCAATTTCTGATGTCCTGTAATGCAGTCTCACTGATCTGATGGAAGGGACTTGATGATATCCGAGTCACCTGACAATCATCAATCAAGTATAAGTTAAACTCAATCTGAAAAGAATTATTAAACCAGAACAAATCAAAGCTTACAAGAACCGCGTGATGAATATAGAATGGTAACATACCAGGATCAATGATACTGAGGCACGATACTCTGAAATATTTTCCACAGGCAGTTCCCAGATCAACATTGTCTACAAAAATTCAACAAGTTCCCACCAAAACGTCAACAAGCTATTTAGATAAAAACTAAAAGCACGTACTCGACAGTTGCAAAACAGATATTTCCCTAATGAAGTGTACACAAAATTGTTCGCACTTGAAATGTAGAAGTCCACATTAAAGAAAAAAGGGAACTAAAGTTGCTGAAGTGACATCTACATTGACTTGCATAAAACCATAACAAATCCAAATCAACAGGAAAATAGCAGATTGCAGAAAGGAGAATCATATGCCACACAACAGTTGCAACACAAGTTTCACAAAAATCACAGAACTCGGAGATGTCTAATTCAGTTAACGTTTATCCTAATGCATGGCATCACTATATAGATCATTATACCATAATTTCAAGGAAAAGAAAACAGCAACCATTTAAACTTTCTACATGTTACCTATAGATCCCATATATAGAATTGACTACAACATACATGAATCACACTAACCAGGCTTGGCAATGGCATTCATATCATGATCCATGACACAATTTCACACGGTTCAAATCATGAAATGTAACAAAAAATTTTCAAATGACTGTTAACCTAATGCAATCCTGTCCATAACAAAGAGATTCAGGCCAAACATGCTGAAGATATTCAAGGAGATCAACAAAACAACATCAAACATTTGTTCCATCATGCACTTTATCATATCCACATGACACTAAAATATGTCCCAAATGGGTCATACAAAATCCAACTTTAATGAAATGATCATCTTGACTGGCACACGAGAAATGCAAGTAAAGTCATGATAAGAGAATCACAATCCACCCTCATTCATCACTTTAAAAAAATGATTTATTTCCGCAAGACAAACAGGCAAATTCTCAAACTGCAGCCAGTTTAGTTTTCAACTTTGTAATTGATTCAATTCATTTCCAACTATTTCAATTAATCACTAGCTTAAAACAAAGTTACAACACAGAATTGCTTTAAGCGAAGACCATTGAACACCCAGATTAAAACCCAACACAGTTTGCTTAACAAAGGACCTATTTCCTTGAAATGCTTTTCCAATGAACCAAGACACGTCAAATTTTAAAACCGGATCACCAATTGAAGCAACAGTCATAATACTTACTTCCGTTATAGTGGTGAACTCCGACCTTGGCAAGCATGGCGTAGTACTCAATCTCGGACTTCCTTAACGGCGGGCAGTTGTTGGATATCAAAATCAGTTTCCCTGCAAGACCCACCATAAAATCCAATCCAAAATAACCAAAAAAATAACATTCCTTCCACCAAAAATCTAAACAGGGCCAAGTTGAACAAAATAAAATAAAATGAAGAGAAGCAGCTGCATACCCTTGGAGTTCCTAAGAGTCTTCAACACAGTCTTGTAACCAAGAGAGTATTTTCCACTCTTCATCACCAATGCTAATCTGCTGTTGATGTTCTCATGGGTCTTCTTCTGCAATTTTCCCAAATTTGCAATTTACATCAAACATGAATAAAATGATTCAAACAAGCCCAGTAAAGCAAACTAAGAGAAAGCCAAAGCGTATATAGGCATAAGGTTCCGGTGAGGATACCGTCTTTTTTCCGGTGGAAGCCATTTCTGGTCGGTGGGTGCTTGCGGCAGAGAGGTGAAGGAAGCTGAGACTGCTGTATAAACGACACTAACACCTCTATTAGGGTTTTACTTTATATCCCCAGCTATGTATCTGATTTTGTAACGGCGGCCCAGAAGCTCTAAGACAAAGGCCCATCATGGGTGTTTTGTAACTGCCCAGTTTTGGGCCTGATGGCCCAAATTTTTTTTCGTGTTTATTTTGTTTACATTTTCATTGTGTAGTCCAAAATTTTTACAAAAACCATATTTTACAAAAAAAAATTATATTTTTTCGTTTTTAATGAATTTCTTCCGGCACTATTCTGTTTTGTTGATGATTTGACAGTTGTTTTCACGTCGTCTTTTTCGCGGATTGATTGGTGAATTTTTACTATTCGGATATCTTTTTTTACACACAATTACAAGTATCTAGTCTATTGTAAAGTGAAGCTTATAGGGTAGAAGTAAAGCTTATAGGGAAGGGGGTAGTACTACTAAGGGGAAACTCCACGCACGTATGTCTACTTGGAAAGACGCGGATTGATTGGTGAATTTTTACTATTCGGATATTTTTTTTTACACACAATTACAAGTATCTAGTCTATTGTAAAGTAAAGCCTATAGGGAACTAAGCATGCCTACTTGGAAAGACGCGAATTGACTGGTGAATCTATAATATATATTATACTAAAGAGAAACCAGAGAGAGAAAACAAAAAAGAATTCTAAAGGTGCCATATAGGATTTTATTCTATGTGTCATTTTTCTAATGGTTGAGTCAAAAAATATTTACAACAATTATACTAATAGTCCTTCAAATTTTATGTAAATAAAGTTTTATCAAATGGCATTTAAAACTATAGTTTAAAATAAGAAAATAAAAATTAATTAAATTTAATGGTCGAGATTAATGAACATTAATGCACCAGAATTATTCCCTCCCCAAAAGAATCCCCATAGTTACTGCTGGACTCATTTAATTAATTTCTTTAAAAAAAAAATCTCTCTCCCAATCATGCAAATCAATAGACTACAATTCAAAAAAAAAAATCAATCATTCAACATTAATGTTATCTTTAAAATCTTTTCCCAAAAATATGACCCTCTATTTTTCACCAATAAAAAAGAAAAAAAGGTACAAAACTTGTCTTCAATTATTACTAAAAGGATGGGATTTAACTATAATTAAATGTTATCTTTTGAATTTCAAACCAATGCATTTATTTGTGTAATATCATATTTACCTAAATAAATATAATCTTTTCTTAATAATATCTCAAAAGTTGTTATAAACTTTATCTTTATCACTAAAATTTTGGATAATCAATTATCATCAATCCCAATTTATCTCTATTTATTTTCACTTTTGGATAGTAAAATTTTAGATAGTAAAATATACTCCAAAACACCTACATTACTGATGGATTATAAATAAAAATAGTAAAATTTATTTTACACTTTTTATATTTTTTTGTAGATTTTTTATAATGTATATAAATAAATCCTGCGCATCGTGCGGGTTTAACATCTAGTTCTTACTATTCGATTTTTTTTTTACACGCAATTACAAGTATCTAATCTATTGTAAACTGAAGCCTATAGGGAAGGGGGTAGTACTACTAAGGAGAAAACTGGAAAAACTCCGCGCACGCATGCCTATTTGGAAAGCTTTCCTGGCAGGTGCAAGATAACCTACACAACTCAACACACAAAGGTGTTGTTAGCGGGGTTTGAACTTGAGACCTCTTGGGACCTCATGTTTTGATGCCATGCCCACTACCACTTGGGCAACCCTTGTTGGCTACTATTCAGATGTCAATTAACAAGATGAATCAGATGAGATTTTGAGTCGTGGGTTGAAGGATCAAACTTATGATTCGAAAAAATTCTTATTCCGTTAGATATGTGGGAATTCCTACATCAAGTTTTATTAATTATTGTTTCCCCTACGAAATCTTTTTTGGGTATGTTATAAGGAAGATTAGTCTTTGTTGCCAATAGTGAACACCCTGCAAATATTAAACAAGAAAAAAAATTATAAAAACTGTAAAAAAAGAAAAAGCTAAAATTAATTAGTAATGACAACTAGAGAATGGTAAGAATCAATTAAAACTATCAAATAGTTTTCAGATATTGAATACATGACATAAAAGTTACTATTTGACATTTGCATGACGAATGACATGTGATATCATTTACTCGATTTAAATCCAAAATAATTGTGGCAGTAATTTTAAATACCAAGTACGTGATAAATTTTGTTGTCCACCTGCCACTAATCATTTACATAGGATCCCTGGAATTTTTGCTCCCAACAATTATGGTTAACTGTAACTTATTGTTTTCTACTTTTCTTTTCTCCTTTGTAAAGGGAAGTAGGAACACTTCCAATACATCTGGTTTTCCATTTTCTTAATCACTTTATGAAACTGCCTATCTGAGACGCATCTTAAGTCTGCACAATTCTCATAAATCTTCTTTGATTTTGAAAATTTTTGATCTCTCAATATCGATTTTAATGATGATATTTTACGAGTTTCTATTGCTGGATTTGGATCATTGTAGATACCTTTTACCATCCTAATTGAAAAATCTATTTTCCGAAATAGTTAGTTGAAAATGTTCCAAACATTTTCCAAAGATAGAGTAACGAATAGCATAACCCCTGAACAGATGAAATCTTAATGGGCAAAGTATTTATTTGTTACTGCCAAAGTTATTGTCTAATTTGCTTTTTAAGTTTAGTACAATTTGAACTAAAAATACAAATTTAAACTGGATAATAATTATGGGATGAAGGGAATACTTATAAGTCCATTGAAAGTTTTAACTCATCACCTTAGAAATCCTCAGAATTCCTAATTTCGTTTATTTTTAAAGGTTCAACTTGCTTATTTACAACGCAAATTCAGAATTTTATTTTTCTTTTTTTGTAAAGGACAAATCTTATTAAATAATTCATTATAAAATATATATTACCTTTGTTCCAAACAAAAAATTCACATATTTTAGTCCCCCGTATTTAATAACAAATTAATTAATATAAGATTGTCCACTACAAATAAGAAAATAAAATTCGAACTTTGTGTTCTAAATAATGAAAACTAAAACTTAAAATAAACAAAATTTAGAATTTTAGTGCTAATACTAATATCAAAACTCGTGTGCATTATTTATTTATTTATTTGGACCCGGGGCTGTTACAAAATACTATTATTCATCAATTGCAAAAAATTTGGATGAAAATGATAACTTCAAATGTGGGTCTTTTCCCTAAAAAAATTCTTTAAATAAAGGTGGATAAATTTAATTTTTTTAAAATATATGTGGACATATATATATCTCCCAGATTTCACAAATCCGAAGGTCCATTAAAATTAAACCTTCGAATTTTACAAATCCGACTGTCCAAATAATATTACCATAATAAGTATTAATATTTTGTGAAAATACAGTAAAAAAAGTCAGAAAATAAACAGTACACTTCGGAATCGTAATTCCGAATTCAATAAAATAAAAAAATACAGAAGAAAGATTGAGGCACGAAATTTTTGAATTTCAACTTTGGAATTTTGTAATCCGGATTAAGGAATTCGGATTTCCGAAATCCGACTATATTAAATTTTGGTTGGTGGAAGTAGGCATCTGTCATAAATTAGAGGACCAAAAAATAGAATTAAAAATCCGTAATTGAACTCGGATTTATGGAATCCGAGCTTAGTGGGATTCGGATTTACCAAGTGAGGATGGTGATCATTAAATGTACCAAGTGAGGATGGTGATCCACCATGTGTGTGGAAGATGTGTGTCTTTGAAAAATCACGGCCTTCATGAAATTGTGAGATGGCATGATGCACATAATTGCATGACTCTCGTGAATGATAATAACAATCGGTGTTTGGATGCGTCTTTGATTGCTAGACTCATCAGGAGAAAGGTTGAGGACAACGTAGATTATACGGTGGCCTCGGCAAAGAAATATATGAAGACCTTATTGAAAGTAGATGTGCTATACAAAAGGGTGTGGCACAGGAGGAGAAAAGCCATAAAAGCGGTCTATGGTGATTGGACCTCGAATTTTGAAAAATTTCCTAGGTAAATGTCAAAGGGCCCGGATGAAATGTGCACTCCCTGATGATTCCCCAATCGAGCAAAGGGCCCGGACAATAATCCTGCATTTTATGAACAATTTCATGTTTCCTACCAAGACTCAAAACACTGTCAATCTGCAGTTGTTGGCCCAGGTTGAGGATTTGGAGCAATGTAATCGATACAGTTGGGGATCGGCCCTGCTGGCTTGTTTGTACTTTGGCCTGTGTGAGGCAACCCAGTACACCATGCACGACATCACTGGCTGTGTGTATATTTGCTATTGGTACGTATTAGTTTTCATTAGGTGTTATAATTTTTTTGTTTTTGACATTGTAATTTGAAGTGTTAACCGTATGTATTGAAATTTACTAGGTATGGGCGTATGAGCGGATCGAGAGAATCGCGCCACATAGAGTGCAACTAGATTATATACTGGATGAGACTGCTCCATTAGCTCAGTGGTACTTATTTTCATCTCAAAATAACTCAATGTTTATTTCTATTTGTTTCTTATTCATTTTTTTTAGTAATTAAACTGTAACCCCTTCGTGTTTGTTCATTAAGGTAGGAATGTTCGTAGACCTACGGAGACGTCCCAAGGAGCAGCTTGGCACTTTTTAGAGATCAATTAACAAGCTTGCGTCTTGGAGATGTAAGTACTTAATTTGGTATTTATATTTATATTGAACTTTTTTCTTCCGGTTATACAATTTAAATAAATTCTTTTCGTGCAATTTCTGTGGTAACCATATGTAAGCGACCTTCCTAAACTCCCTGATTTCTGTAAACAAGGTCAAGCCATTTGGACGACCAGATGTTGGATGTTCTGTTGGGCTGTTAAGGAACCCCACGAGTTGCTCAAGGTTGTGAGATAATTTGGATACATACAGGATGTTCCCCGTGGCCCTATGATTAAAGATCACGTAGCATTTCTTCTCGATCACGCCCACAGTATGTCTGGCCTACCTAGCAACAATTGGGTGGATCACCATTCCACAGTACGTCCTCACTGGAGAGAGAGAGAAAAGTACGTTCTAAAAGATTTGGAAGTTGAATTCCGTGGCCAAACATATGAGGGGTACTATGAATGGTTCATGATGAATATTGTCAAGCTTATATCCAATCCCAAAAATTATGAAGTTAAAGGATACGAGACTTCTTCGAACCGAGTGAAATTATATGTGAGTTCATTCTATATTTTGAGTTTTTAATTTCTTATATATATATATTTTTTATCTTTTTATGATTTTTGTATTTTACTTTTTTAATTAACGTTCCAATTTCTTTTCAGGGTGAAGTATTGAACAACATTCGCGTGAGTTTCGAGCAGTTTAGAGATGATAGAGACAAGAAGAATCTCCTAGACAATGAACTCGAGGAGTATTTGAATAAAATCATCGACCAAACACATGCTGCTTTAACCTTGGGTCCAAATGATGAGATTGACATGGACGATACCCAAATCCTAGTTGATGAAGAACCATCTCTACCCTCACAACCTGCGCCGGGCAAAAAAGCAAAACCGTGGCGAGAGATAAGATTGGAGGAGGAAGAAAGCGAAAGATAGTGATTCCGCCTCGATCATCGCAATAACAAAATGATGGTGACGGTTCACATAATCAACAACAAGAGGGCGAGGCGGCTTCTTCTAGAGGCTCGCACATCCATGTCCAGACTCAATTTGAAGACATTGGTGGACCTGAGACTCAATTTGGTGGAGAGTCGCAACCACAGTCGGGAATCCTACTTCTCACCATGGGAGAGTCCTAATCCCAACCCCAACCCCAACCCCAACTGCGTCAACAACGGGGTTCAATACTCACGTATCTTCAGAGGGAAGACAGGATTTGCCAGGAGCCAAATAAATACATCCAGATGTTTCATTGTTGTTGGTGCTGTAAACAGGTTTTGGACTGATTAAAACCAGTCCAATTTTTTTTTTTTTTTCAGTTTTGACAAAGATCCGGATTTCACAAAATCCGAAGTTCTGCATTTTGTAAACGATTCGGATTTTGCAAATCCGAAGCAACGCCTATCTAGGAGTTCCAGTTTCTCAGAGAAACAGAGGAGCTCCGGATTACTTAAATCCGACTTTATAGAACTTCGGATTTCCTTCATCCGTCTTTAGCCGAAGAGAGGATCCGGATTTACAGAATCCGTTTTAACACATATTTGAAATTCCGTAATCCGAGTTTAGCCAAAAATTATTTTCCAACACTTATAATTTTTTCATCCTACCGGAAATTAATATTTTAGTAATGAATTCGGATTCGGGAAGTCCATATTTATATTAATTACACTAAATTCTTTTATTAACTTAATATCTGATTAACATTAAACAAAGTCGGATTTCTGTAATCCAAGACTCCACGGATTCGAATTTCAGTCATCAAAATTTTACCCTGATTCGGATTTCTAAAATCCGTGGGATATAGTTTTGTCCACATAATTTTTGAAAGGTTTTTGTTTTTTTTTTTGTCTAGGTCCTTAATATGCAAATATATTTAACGAAAAAATTCCTTTGGCGTCAATAAGAAAATCAGTTCAGACGCAAACAACATTGTCAACATTCCATTTCAAAGAGATATCCACGAAATCCTAAAAACCCTTTGGAGTTTGGGGTGTTATTCATCAATTACAAAAAATTTGGATGAAAATGATAACTTCAAATGTTGGGCGTCAATAAGAAAATCAGTTCAGACGCAAACAACATTGTCAACATTCCATTTCAAAGAGATATCCACGAATTCCTAAAAACCCTTTGGAGTTTGGGGGAAATTCAATACACAATCACTGTCAATGGTGAAAGCTCGAAGAAATGAAAACGGAAAAAAAGAAGAAGAAATAATGCAATGAAGAGATACACCACTGATTCTGATGGGCTGTGGTGGCGTTGGCCGCCAACTCCTCCAACACATTGTTTCCTGTCGATCCCTTCACTCCAAACAGGTCATTTCGACGATGCCCTTAGAGCTTCTTTCGTATTGGCACGTTTAGAATCGTTTTTTTTAATCATAATAATGTTAACGGGACTGTGTTTTGTTGAGTAAAATTCATGGGATTCACGTTACAAAGTTTGAAATTTTTGCAGGGAGTGAGGTTGAGAGTAGTCGGAGTGTGTGATAGCAATTTCTTAATTGTGGCACCAGATGTTTTCAATGGCGAATTGGATGATGCAGCTTTCATCCAAGTTTTCTGAGCAAACTCCAATTGTGCTTCTCTGTCTACAGCTAGCAATCATGGTAATTAAATTTTTTGAACTTCTTAATGTTACTTAGCAATCAGTTGCCATACATGTTAAAAACATATTCATTGAGGTTATGAAGGTCTAGTGTCATTAGATTCCTGTGATTTGATCACGGTTTAGCTTGTGCTAGCTTTTTCCTTCTCACACAATTCTCTTAACTGCTCTGATTTTCAAGCGGAGTGAATGAATAATAGTTGAGTGAATTGTTCAGTAGAGATTTCAGGGACTAAATAGATAGAAAAAGCTGGTTGCACAGTGATAGAAAAGACCATTTTAAAGCAGCTTGGCATTTTCATCAATCATGATTAGCTTCAAGCTGTCTTATTTCATTGAACAAGAATGCTCCATTATACTCCATTCAATTCAAAGATGAATGAAAATGTGGTTTGTTTTGAGCTATTTTTTCAACTGATTAGAGACCAATGCATGTTTTTTTATACTGGAAGCCTTTCCAATCAGTCAAAACACTGCATATTTTTGCATTCAAAGTTGCGAGGAAGAAAGGATCATAAGATGGTTACTTATTTTAGCTGCAGTAGTAGACATTATAATCCTGTTGTGAGGAAGTACTATCTTTTCTGGCAGAAGTTCTTGCCTCCAAAAATCGGATGGCTGCAAGGTTCCCTTGTGTTTATCAATTATTTTAACAATGAACTTGGGAGTTTATAACTTATAAGGCCTTTCCTCTTCTGATTTGTAGTTGATTTGTAATTTATGCTTAGAAATTAACATCCCTTGTGACAAGAGTTTAAAATAGTAAACCAATCTATCTGTTAGTGATTTTTTTGCTTCATAGGATGAAATAAATGTGGGAAATTAGTAGTTACTATTGAAGACAGAACAAGCATAAATGGAGACTCTAGGAGTTAACATAAGCGTTTGTATATAAATCGTTTAATAATTGTACTACTGATATTTGATGAGGATGACGGTTTGAAATTTTTCGCTTTTCTATGAAAAAAAACTTATTGACTGAATCAAAATATTTTTGACCAATTTGCACAAAATAAATCCAGATCATATTATTGCTTGCATGCATTATCATGAGTGGGCTCAGTTTGCTGACTCATTATTTTCTTCTGCAGTACCTTGCTTGCCATTTTATATTAGTCTGAGAGTGATGGGCATGGTGGAAATATTTAGATGATTCTCATTCATTCATTTGTCAACACGTAAAACATATCGATAAGAATCAATATACACGAGAGAACAGATGCACATAAAATCAGCTGGACACATAAATATGTCTTTCAGTCTGGTTTAGCAACCACTTTCTGTTCTAGAATCTGTTTCTGATTTTCTGATCTGTTTTCCAAGATTTTCATCAGTTTCTCAACCTGATCTTTGTTTCCTACCATATATCTTTCGTGCAAAGGTCAGTAACTCGGATGAAACTAACTCTAATTAATTTGTCATTATTTTGATAGAAATTTAATCCATTTCCATATTGATGCATCCGTATGTAACTTCCTGTTGGTATGTTACTAATTTGTAAGTAATTAGGGTTATATGTTTCCTTGGAGCAGGTGTATATATATGATTTACTCTAAGAAGGGCTAAAGAATCGTAAGATGGTTGCTCATGCTGCATTAGTACATCTTAAGAACCTATTGCATGAGGAAGTACTACCTTTTCTGGCAGAAGTTCTTGCTGCTGAGAAGGGGATGGTTGCAAAGTTTCTTGAGTTTATCAATGATCTGAATGATGAATTTGGGAGTTTAAAGGATGTTTCCTCTTCTTATCTCCCAATCATTAAGCAACGTCTCCAAAAGGTGGTTCGCCAAAGTCCTTGTGAGAAAAGTTACATCGATTACGTCAAGAATGGTCGATCAGAGAGCATCATGCATGATCTAGATGGCATCCAATCTATATTGGAGGAATTCATAAATGAAATTGATGGCGGTGTTCTCCATCATCCACCTAACATCTTATCTCTAAAATGAGAGTACGTAAATGTTTTGCTTTCTCCTATTCAAGAAGTTAAAGGGTCCATCGCCTTCTTCCTACAGGCAGAACAAGTAGCCATTTCCCTTTGCGATACAGTAATTGATGATTTGCTATTAAAAATAAAGTATGTTGATAACCATGAAGTGGTTAATCGCATCAAAATTGCTGCTGACATGGCTGCTGATGCTATTGAAGATTTCCTAGCAAACACTCCTTTCTTGTTGGGGACAAATCACTTTTTCCAAGTTCAGAATATTTCTGATTTGTTGAATGACATTGACCAAATGCTGTCTCACCCATCAGAGGAGGCAACTTCCAGTTCTGTGGTATCTCCGAAGGACGAGGCATTTTGCAGCCAGGAGAGGAATATGGAGAACCACATGTTTGTAGACACTGCCCCACTGTTACCACAGGAATTTCAGGAAAGACCATTTTTGAGAGAGTTGGATGATGACTCAGCCAAATTGCAGTCGAGTCAAGATTTCCAGGTTGCAAACATGCATCCCACTCATGTGGGTTGTGAAAAGGAAAAGGAAAAGGATATAGGACTTGTAGCTTTCCCAATGAGTACCAGCATCTCAGAAACTGCGTGAAAACAAGAGGATATTGTGGTGGGAATCGATGAATACATTCAGGAAATTGTTGCTGTACTTATGAATCAAATATCTAGACTGACAACTATGGCGATTGTGGGCATGGGCGGGATTGGCTAAACGACTCTTGCTAGAAAAGTTTTCCAAATATGTAGTAACGTCCGCCTTTTTGATCGTGTGGCATGGGTCACTTGTACACCTGATATTGACTGAGTTGTCTCGTCTTTTGCACCCGATGATAAATTTCATGGGCAAACCAGACAAGTCCAAGGAGAAAGCTTGCGGAAAAGTTTGAAGATGAGAAAGTACCTCATTGTTTTTGATGGTTTGTGGGATTTTGAGTCTTGGAAGTATATTTTGAGTTTCCTTCCAAACGATGAAGTAGGAAGCCGGATACTGATAACTAGTCGTGCAATGATGGAATTGCCCACCAGCACAGGTACGCATATTCCTTATAACCACCATTGTTTTCGTATGAGCATTCTAAATGAAAATCAAAGCTGGGAATTATTGGAAAGGAAACTGTTTGGAAAACAAAGTTGCCCTGTTGAATTGGTGGAAGTCGGAAAGCAAATTGCTAGGCAATGTGGAGGACTACCCTTAGCAATTGTTCTTATTGTTGGTACTATCCTCAACAACCCAAACCCAGAGTCACAGGACTCCTGGCTGTGTGTCATGGACGACATAACATCAATCGTATTTGCTAACCCAGAGTCGTGTCTAGACATCATTGGTTTAAGTTACAAGTACTTGCCCCCTCACCTCAAAGCCTGTTTTCTTCTAATGGGTGGGGCTTTCCCTGCACAATGTGAGATTGATGTTGAAAAACTAAGCAATTTATGGAGGGCCGAGGGTTTTTTAGATGCCGTTCACAACCTGCCAGAGATAATCTTAAAAGAACTTATGCACAGGAGTTTAGTTTCAGTTGGCAGGATAAGTTTTGTTGGTAAAATCAAAACATGTACCCTTCATGATCTTGTGCGACAGTTATGCTTGAGAGAAGCTCAAAAAGAAAATTTCTTGCATGTTATAGAAGGAAATGCTAATGGCGTTGGAAATGCCCCAGCTTTAGAAAATCAGCACCATCTTATATTCAACATAGAACATTGTGATAACTGCATTCAAATGTTGCCTCCACTTCCTCATCTCCAATCTTTTATATGGCTTTCTCTTGGATCCGGTTTTATACCAGGTATGGTAGGTCTCATATTATCTGGTTTTAAATGGTTAAGAGTGTTAGATATATATTTTTTGCCTTTCGACACCTTCCCTAGACAAATCCTGAACTTGGTAAATTTAAGATATCTTGCACTCAATGTGACATATGTGCTTGATAAGTCAGTATCTAAGCTTCACAAACTTGAGACCTTGCTGGTCTATGGTCCCTGGAGCCATAGTGGAAATGAGGGAACCCCGACTCTATTTTTGGATATTTCAAAAATGCGATGCTTGTTGCATGTTTACACTTGGGTACCGAGTATTTTAAGAGGTAATGATTTCCAAGCACTCCATCTTAACCTTACGGATTTATCCAAAATAACATTGCATAGCTCATGGCTGTTGTTCGGGTGCTCACCAAATCTTAAGAAACTCGGAGTTTTTGAAACCAATGAAGATTACCGGACTGGTAGAGTGTTGAGATGCTTCTCGGACAGGGGGTTTCAAAGATTGAATCAACTAGATTCACTGAAGTGTTCTTTTTACAAAGGGAAGACGGAAGCAAGAAGTTTAAATTTGAGTGCTTTACCAGCCACTCTCAAAAAGTTGACATTGACAGGGAGTTGTTTATCTTGGGACCAAATGAAGCTTCTTGCGGGGTTACCCAATCTGGAGACTTTAAAGCTGAAAAATGAGGCTTTTATAGGTCCAGAATGGGTGCAAACTGATGAGGTATTTCCTCCGCTGAAGCAATTATTGATTGACAATGCAGTTCTAATGATGTGGCAAACTGGAAACGATGATGAGCACTTTCCACGCCTTGAGCGGCTGGTTCTGAGTTACTGCAAGTTTCTTCAGGAGATCCCTTTGGGCAGTGGGCAATTCAGTGCTCTTGGGTCAATTGAGCTGCACCATTGTTGTGAATCAGTTGAGAAATCAGCCCGAGAATACGAGGAATATTATGGCAGCCCTAGTATCAGTAGTCGGATTGGCAATCAGTAGATATATCATATAAGTTCCCCTTTCATTTCAACGCTTTCTTGTTTGAATAATTTACAGTCTTCTTCTCCTTTAGTAGCTATCTTCTTTGCTTCTCAGTATGTTCAAATATGAAGCTTAATATGCAGTGTTTTCCTCTCTTCTGCCAATGTCTTCTGACTTCTTTTTTAACCCTCTCTTTTCCTTTAAAGATGGTCAATTACTTTGTGGAACCAAAACAGTATAATGAAGTAATTTATTTATTTTTTATAGGACAGAATATAATCTCATTTGGATATCATTCTCGATATAATACTCTCATTATTTCACGTTTATTGTCAACTTCTAAGGTAAACAAATAGAAAGACATGCATGAATCTATATGACACTACTGCTCTTTCGATGACATTGTTTTTAAACGGTAACCAAAATCATCATGATTATTGAGAAGTATAATCAACAAAATTAAGCAAACCCTTTTTTTCCCCCTTAGTTATCTCGATCATACATGAGCAAACAATAAAATCAGTTTCTACTTTTTGAACAGTAAGGCCTCGGTTTATTCATCTTTTTGAACAGTTATCCAGAGATAGTCTTGTTTTTGTTGCATGGACTTGTTTGGTCTCAATGAATTGGATTTCGTCCCACCAAAGTCAGCATTTTACTTTTAAAAATGCCAGGATTTGTTGGAAAGTTATTTTATATGAATTCTTGTCACAAAAAAAAGTTTCAAGTGAACTAGTTAACACATATGTAGTGTTTCTTTTTTTTTTTTTTTCAATTATAAGTACTTATTAAACAAATATTGAGAATGTAAAAATGTTACATTGAAATTCTGAAATCATGGGAAAAGCACACGTACTAATACCCCTGATTTAAAAAAAGAAAAAAAATGAACATTTTAAGAAAATGTGTTAGGGTTTTTTTTTTTTTTTAAATAATGAACATTTGAAGAAAATGTATTAGTTTAGGGGTTTTAGTGTGTGTGCTTTTCCCATATTTTCAGAAATTTCAATCTATCATTTTTACATTCTCAAATTTAGTTAAATATATTTTTTATGTTTTGGATTAAATATGTCATTAGCATGCAAACAGCAACGGTATCATACACTCCTTCCGTCCCAAAATTATTATCCAGTTTGAATTTTTATTTTTAGTTCAAATTATACTAAAAGTATAACGTCAAACTGAACAATAATTTTGGGATAGAGGGAATAGTAATCTATATAATTGATTATTGGCTTTTTCTCATATGAGAAAAATGGAAACTTTTAAAGTTTCAACTTCCTCATTTAATACAAAAATAGTGGGAGATAATTTTCTTTTGAGACAAGCCTACATTGAAATAAAATTAAGCTTTAACAAGTGGAAGCAAGAAATAACTATAATATAGATTCGAGTTGTAATTTACTCTAACCAGTGACTATTCAATTTTTCACAATTTTATTGGTTATGTTACAAACTAATCTGTCACGTAAAACACAATTTCCTACTTATGTAAGGGACAATTTCATTGATTAATGTTGCATTAATTCTAAGAGATACAAATATGTAATTAAATCACAAATAAGGTTTTCACCAAAAAGAACAATTAAGGTAAGATTTACAACTTGTGTTAAATTTGATGGAAAAATGATCATCAAAAAGAAAAGAAAAATCCATTCAAATGCTAAAAAAAAAAGAAAAGAAAAAGAAAAAGAAAAAACCACACATACAAAACAAGAAAAAGCGTTTCAAAGAAATATTCACAGAATCCAAAACCCTCCAAAAACCCAGAGATTGGGGAAAAATCAAAACACACAGTGTCATCGATTGTAAAAGCACAAAGAAGTGACGGAAAAAATGAAGAAGATACCATTGATTCTGATGGGCTGTGGTGGTGTTGGCCGCCAACTCCTCCAACACATTGTTTCCTGTCGATCCCTTCACGCCAAACAGGTTATTTCGACGATACCCATTAAAGCTTCTTTCGTATTTCCACGTTTATAATTGTTTATTTGATCAGAATAATGTTAACGGAACTGTGATTTGTTGAGTAAAATTCACGGGATTCACGTTAAAAAGTTTGAAATATTTTGCAGGGTGTGAGGTTGAGAGTAGTCGGAGTGTGTGATAGCAATTCCTTGATTGTGGCATCAGATGTTATCAATGGCGAAGTGGATGATGTGGGTTTGACCCAAGTTTGCAAGGCTAAGTCCAATGGTGCTTCTCTGGCTACTGTTAGCAGTCATGGTAATATAATTTTTAGCTTTTTCCATGTTTCCTGGCAATCATTTGTTGTATGTGATTAAACACATATGCTGATTTTTACCCCCTTTTTTATGATTCTCTTTGGTCTCAAGCGATGTCTGGTCAAGAAGTTACAAGCAAAATCATTGAGGTTGTTTCTCTTCTGGGTAACTCAACAGGTTTGTTTCTTGTTTGTTTCCTAGTTTAAATGCTACAATAATCCTGTTTGACTTGGAGGGAACCGAAGGTTCTTCTTTATTGATTATTGAGCAGACCGTAATATGCCATTTAAATGATGCTTACAGTTAATTTGATCTCATCAGTTTAAAATAGCCGAGAAGAAAGATGAACAGTGGGGACCTTTTTCCGAAGAAAATGGTGTCATTAGATTCATCTATATTGATGAATGATGATGGTTTAGCCTGTCATATTCTCAGGGATGTCCCTCTAGTGAAATTGTATCAATTTCCCTGGTCATCAAGCATAGTGAATGGATACTAATTAAAGCAGATTGACATTTTAAAACTGGTTTGAAAGAATGCACCATTTTAAAACAGATTGACAATTTCTTCAATTAATTCAGGCTTATTTCATCTTGCGAGCATGTATTCTAATCCATCTCAAAGATTATTGATGCTGCTGGTTCATTTGTCCTGCTTTTTCATGCCACAAGGTCTTTAAATAATGTTACGTGAAATAAATGGCTGACAGCCACCTATGATGCGTTTCTAATTTCAGTCATTGAACGGCATCTTTTGACATCCATAATTTGCATCTTGTCATTGGTACTTTTTCATCCTATCTTTAAGAGTATTTTCAGTTTTCTCTCTTAGTGGCTTAGTCTTGACATTGGTGGGGGTCAGTACTGTAGTCGCTAAAATTGTTTATCTTACTGCTGCCATGTTGTATCTAGCTCTTGTGTGATGAAGCTATTACTAGACTTAATTGATTTGCTTATATGTAACCGTATGAGAAGGTCATTTGTTTTCAATTGATTTCTTCTTATAGGCTACTCTTTCTTCCTGTTCTCCAAGCTTGCAATTTGCTGAGAAAATTTTATTGTTATAGGCTTGGCTGTTGTAGACTGCTCTGCTAGTTCAGAAACTGCTGGAATACTAAGCCAGGTGGTAGATTTTGGTTGCTGTGTGGTGCTTGCTAACAAGAAGCCACTTACTGCTTCACTGGTAACTATCCTTTTCGACGTTTGGAGCATTCTACTACATACTTTTTGATTCTTATGTTGATCAAGTTCTGAATATGGATAATGAATGAATAAACTAAAATGTTGAATTTGCTAATGTCCAAAGAACTGTACTTGTCACAACTTTCAACACGATTTTTTATTGCACTGACAATAGTTCAAGCTTAGCTCAATCCCCTACCTGCAGCTGTACAGTGATTGTATATTGTATAAACTTTCTGTTTCCAGGAAGTTTATGATAAGTTGGTGTCATTACCTCGCCGCATTAGACATGAGTCAACTGTAAGTCTACCTTAAATCTTAAATAGTTCTGGTCTGTCTTACTTGTTTGTCAAATTTCCTGAAGTTCTTAGAGAGTTTCAGATGTCCTATTTTATCTATGATTTTGGAACCTCTTTATTTACATGATCACGGCTCTCTACATCTGCTGGTAGGTTGGTGCAGGCCTTCCTGTTATAGCAGCATTGAATCGTATAATATCTTCTGGAGATCCAGTCCATCGCATTGTCGGGAGTTTAAGTGGTACCGTTTGATGTATTCAGAATCTTCCAGTGGAAGTTATTATGCTTGTTTGATTTATAGATGTTGGCAAGGGACATAATTGTTTTTGACTTGAGATGTTATCTTCAATAGGTACCCTTGGATATGTGATGAGTGAACTTCAAACTGGAAAGCCTTTTAGCAAAGTTGTCACTGTTGCAAAAAGCCTTGGATACACTGAACCAGGTAACACATAGATTGGTCTTGCGGAAGCAGTTCTTTCAAACGAATAGGAGTGAGAGATAGAGATGACTCTTATTCATTTTCATTTGTTTGTACAAAAGGTAGTCCTTTGCTTGGCATGTTGAACAGTGACATTTGATTGGCATATTTGTTGGGAGGGGTAATGTCCATCAGCTTTTCAATGCATGTTCATTTAGAATCTAAAAGTTGGGACAATCTACATATTCAGAAGAAGTTTGATTCCTTCCACTGAAGAATGAGAAACCCTTAAAATTTTTACACCTTTTGAACTTCCTTGTTCGTATGTCTTTTCAGTCTTCTCACTGAGACATTGTAGTAAAAGTGTCTCCCTTCTAAATTTTCAAGAAGCTGAGTCTATATTTAGTATAGGTATTCGTTCCGCTGATGTTGTTTCTTCAGCAATTGTCTTATCTTATTATTACAATTTTCTCACAGATCCCCGAGACGATCTTGGTGGCATGGATGTTGCAAGAAAGGTATACAGTTGATCTCTTGTAATTAAATAGCTGGACAGAAAAATTTGAGAAGAGCTCCACTTCTGTAAATAAATGTTTGTCGGCTAGGTGGTAACTTCACTCTATTCAACTTTCTTTGTATGAGCCTTTTGCTTGTATTTGGCGGAATCATATTGAAGTGAGAAAACAAACTCTCTATGTTTTGTTGATGTGATATATGAAAATATATGAATCCTTCATCTTGTTTGTGCCTGATTAGAGACTCGTGTTAGCTTCATTTTGCCTCATTTTTTGTCTTCTTCTTCTACATTCTGAAGTTATCTTTTGTTTCTTTCCTTTCTTTTCTTTTCTTTTTGTTAATTGTTATTATTATTATTATTTCTTTTCTGTTTCAAGTATCTTGTTCATGCAAGAACACGAGTCTGTTAATTAATATACAGGTACCTTTTACAAAAAAAAAAAAAAAGTATCATGTTCATGCAAGAATAGATAGTCCACTCCGTGAGCTGTTGAGGATGTGAAGGGAGTGACTTCCTTGTCCAATTTCACCTATTACTGGAACCACATGCTTTTGCACAATTTTCTTTCTACAAGTAATCAAAGAAGACTATGGAAATGCTGGTTTTATTGACGAAGTTTGGGGAAAGATTTTTCTTGAATTGTTCTCAAAACTGGCTGCGTTATGGTTTTCTTTTGGTGTAACATATATATATATATATATATCTTAAACTGATGTAATTGGAGATACTAACTGTTCTCAACTATTTCCAAAACAGGCTTTGATTCTTGCTCGTCTTCTAGGGCATCGTCTGACATTGGATAGCCTTAAGGTTAGCTTTGGCAGCATGTTTGCCTTTCATAAGTCATTTGCCATCTGGTTCTTTCAACTTTGATAAGGGTAATTTCTTTTAGATTGAGAGCTTGTACCCTGTAGAAATGAGACCCAGTGTGATGCCTATTGAAGATTTCTTGGTGAATGGCCTACCGCAACTTGATGCTGACATCCAAGATAGGATCACAAAAGCTTCATCAAAGGGGAATGTTCTACGTTATGTTTGCTTGATTGAGAAAACTAGGTACTGTTACACCGACTTTTGACTGTCTAGAATTTTGATTGACCGTAAACTAGGTTGTCCGGTGGTCAACTGAACCATCTTCCATTCTAGTCATCAATGAAAATCTGCTCTAGAATTCTACAGATATCTGTTAAATTAACTCTTAAGATAAAAGCATGACTACTACAAGTTTATTAAAATGATATGGTTTTATGTAGTTGCATTCCCTCAAAGTGTCAATAATGATTAAACAAATTATCAGAAAATTTTCCTTGTCTTCCAACTCTAGAGTTGTTTTTAACCTCTTAGCTTTTTTCTATCCGGAACCATTCATTAAAAAGCCAGAAGCTGATTCCAAGCACTATCATGGGTCCATAAAAGACTTTCAAAATTTCACTATTAGGAAGGAGTATTGCAGTTGCAGATTGGGAGATTGAGGGCAGAGGAAATCATGTATTCTGTTTGATATTACTGCAAACTAGTTCGAATCCCATACTGTAGACAGTTAGAGCATTCAGAAGTTTCCCTTCCACTGTAGGTATACGATCACATGATCTTGAAAGTCAATCGAATCTTGTGTCCCCCAATCAGAGCATCATAGTTAGCCACCAATTGCTTTTTCATATATCTGTTTTTATTCCCTTAATGATCGTTCCATGTGGGGAGAAAATGGACCCTTATTGATCAGATAAATCCCCTTCGTCCCTATTCACTTGTACACCTACAATTACCTACTCAGTATGCGTGTGTGTGTCTCAGATATGGTAGGTTATCGTCATAGAACTCATGATGTTAGACTTACATAATCGCTTTTGTAACATTTGTTAGTTTATAAGAACCTCTATCCTGAAGAACTCAATGGCTTCTCATATGGCAGGTGTGAAGTTGGCATTCAAGAACTTCCAAAAGATTCTCCTTTGGGAAGACTGAGAGGAAGTGACAATCTGGTCAGCACATTTGTCAAACTTTATGACTTAAATACTGGATCTGTTGAAAATGCTGCACCAAAGAATGCATGATTATGTCTTCTCATTTTGGGAAAGGGTTCAAAAGTAACGTTTTCATGCCATGATAATTACTACTCTATGAAAGTCAGTAAAAAAGAGAATGGCCATGTGTATAATAAGTTACTGGCATAGATTATGTCTTGTACGTTAGTTTTTGTACTGTGGTTTCACTTCATTGGGAATGCTTGCAAAGGGAATCCTCAGTATTGGTGCACCTTGCAGCATTACCAATACGGCCTTATGCTGTGTCACCATCTCAAGTCTCACACTGTATGATAGCATCTGTTTTAACCTTTAACTGCAGTTGGAGATATACAGCAGATGTTACAACGAACAGCCATTGGTTATCCAAGGTGCCGGAGCCGGGAATGATACAACAGCTGCTGGTGTGCTTGCTGACATTCTCGATATTCAAGACCTATTTCCTTGATACAAAAAGTTTCATGCTTGGCTTTGATGTAAGATTTTGGTTACTTTTTGCTTATGCTATGCATTCGATTGGCACAATTCGCAAGAAGATGCAGGTGTAAAACTAACAGGAAAGAAACAAATAGAGACAATAACTGGTTTCTTGAAAATGAGTATTACTCACTCTATCCAAACAGATAGTCCATAGAGAATGATGAATTTTTTTTTTTTTTCCTTCTGTTTTTTTAGGATATAGGTAGTATAATACTCTCTCCATCTCATTTATACAAACTAAAAATATTAAAATAATTTAAGTGAATTATTTTTTTAGGATAGAGAGAATAGTTCGTTGATGATTATATTTCTTAAACCATATTAGATTTAAATCGTATTAGGGTTAAATCTTATAGTGATCGACTGATTGCTATTACTTAGAAGAAGAATATATTGTATTTGTATAACCATACGTAGTTTACTAGTAAGGATAATATTTTTCTTATTTATTTATTTTTCTTTTCTAAAGAATAACACCATTCAATAAAAACTACAATTTCACCCAAAAACATTTAGTTTGGATAATGAAGGAATTTATTAATATATTTTATTGTATTATAATTTAAAAATTTTATTTTACTTTCATGTTTATGTGATTAAGTTTTTTAAAACAATTATGAAAATTATTTATTATCATAAATAACAACAAAATTCAAGCACACATACAAAAGATAAATTATCATATTCTGTGTCTACATCATTGTAATACAAGATGATATAAAGTTGCGCCGTATATAAAAATGATACAAAGTATTTTAGAAATATATTTATATTTAGCACTGTGCAGGTCTAACATCTCTTGACAATATTTTAAGATATTAACATATCTCACTTGAGTAGGAAGTATAATTATTATTATATATAATGTTACTTTGAAGTAAATGAATTGAGTAACAAGAGGGCTATAAGTTGTTGTAAAAGGGGATATGTGTTGAATTGGGAAAGAAAAATGGCCTTCTCTCGCCTAAAACTTTCAGGTAGTTGTGAATATTATTCAAGAGTATTATTTGTAGTTAAATTTGTCTGGAATGTATACATGAATACTCGTTAATTTTGTCCAATGGACGCAAAGTACGTCAAACTTAATTTATTTTAAAAACCTCCATGATAGGTTTAGAAAATTGTATTAAATAACCCCCAAAAATTGTAAAAAGAAGAAAACAATCCCTTTTTATTTTTTCATTTATTTTTTTTGGCTAAATGTTATCCGATCCTTTTGTATTAATTTTTGTAATTATTATAATATTCTAAATGATCTTTAATAAACATTTATTTATTTTTGAATTCTATTGTACAAATTAATGTACTCCCTCCGCCCCATAATTATTGTCCAGTTTGGGTTTTCTTTTTAAGTTCAAATTGTACTAAAAGTGAAATCTCAAACTTGACAATAATTTTGGGACAGAGGGAGTACATATTTGTAGCTCATGATTGCATTTGTATAGACATACGTAGTTTACTAGTAAGGATAATATTTTTCTTATTCATTCTTTTTTCTTCTCTAAAGAATAACACCATTCAATTAAAACTACCAATTCTACCCAAAAAAATTTAGTTTGGATTAGAAAAGAATTTACTAATGTATTTATTGTATTATAATTTAAGAATTTTAATTTGCTTTCATGTTTATGTGATTAATTATTTTAAAATAATTATGAAATTGTTTAGTTATCATAAATTACAACAAAATTCAAGCACACAGACAAAAGATAAATTATCATATTCTGTGTCTACATCATTGTAATACGAGATGATGTAGAGTTGCGCCATATATAAAGATGATACAAAATATTTCGGAAAAATATGTATACTTAGCATTGTCCAGGTCTAACATTTCTTGACAATATTTTAAGATATTAACTTATCTCACTTGAGCAGGAAGTATAATTAATATATATAATGTTACTTTGAAGTAAATGTATTGAGTAACAATAGGGTAATAAGTTGTTGTAATACAGGGGATATGTGTTGGATTGGGGAAGAAAAAAATAACGTTTGAAGAAATTTTTTTTTCAAGGTTTTAATGATTTTATATCAATTTTAATTATTTTTATTCTAAAAGAGTATTAAAACAATCGATAGTCTCTTGAGTTAAATTGTAGTAAACAAAATATACTCTCTTTGTCCCAAAAAATAGTTCACATTGAATTTTTAGATTTGTACTAGTTTAGTAAAAATTTGAAACTCAATGAAGGGTTTTTTTTTTCCTTTTTTTTTTCTTTCCTTCTGGACAAAGGTAGTATTAGTAAATTATTTTAATCTAAACTTATTTCTTTTTTTTTTCCAACAAAAAAATAGTTGGCCCTGAGAATCAAAAATCTCGACCTTCTAGTAATAGCCATCATTCATCCCGATTAAATGTTGGATGACACGTTTATTTATGTGGAATTGTAGTTTAATTAAATGCTGTTATTTTTTGTTAAAAATATGAATCAGAAAAATGTGTATAAATTTTTAAGAAAACGCAAAATTTAATTTATAGAATAGAGTTCAAATATAAATAAACGTGTCAACAAAAAAATTGATTAATGAATTTTTCAGTAAAGATCGTATAGGATATTGTTACTTTAAAAATAATAAAAGAGAAATAGAATGAATTAGAAAAAAAGTAAACGAAATGATAAAAAAGGATTGTTTTGTTATTTTTACCTATTTTCCTGGTTATTTTAGCAACTTCCTTTAACGATTCGGTAGTTTTTATTTTATTTTATTTTATTTTATTCAAACACTAACAAAAATACATTAAGTTTGATGGAATTTCTGTCAATTGGACACAATTGGCAAGAAGTTCGTACCTTAACATCGACGGCTACCCAAAATTTTTGGATAGAAAAGGTAATTTTTCGTGATAATTCCTTCCATAAATATCAATTAGAAAAAGTTTGATGATAATGATATAGTTCGAGAAATTAAAACTTTTATGTTTCAGGTTTTTCGTTAACAATCCTCTTTTATTTTTTTTGTTGGTTTCTAGAAAGGATTCCAGCTTCCTGGTATAAGAAAGTAAATTCTTTTCTTGGTTTGAATTTTGATTAAATCGGGAAGAAAATCTTCTTTCTGCACATGAATTTGCACCCATCAAATAAGAATGCCAACTGATTTAAAGAGAAGAAAGTTTACTATTGTTAGGTGTTTTGGAAAAAAAAGCATATTCGTGCAATTCGTATATTGAGCTGCCTAATATCAATCCCTTTTTTCTACTTTTTGAAAATTTCATAAAATTACTATATGTTTTAATCTAAAATTGATTTTATAAATATATTGTATATACATTAATCGATGCGTGAATAAAGCGTTGGTTCAGTGATAAAATCATTTTACTCCGAAGAGGAGGTCATGAGTTCAATCTCCCACTCTAACAAGAGTGAGAGATTGCTCTAACCTTGTCCCTTGACCCTCTAGAGGGCTTGTTATGATAAACCCACACAAGAACTTCCGATTTCGTACCTGAACCTATTACCAAGGTTTGTCTAGGATGATTTACCTCTCACTTTGGTTTGAAGTCTATTGCAGTGGCCGTTGGTTTACCAATCTCTGATGGGGTTTCTGGCATTAACAAAAAATAGAATAAAATCTATGCACTGAGATATTTCTACGATCATTAATAAAACATTAGCTTTTCTAATAAAAGTTATGGCTGAGCAAAATGTATATATACACATAAAATTAAGTTATATATACATGATTTATAATGTTAAAATTATGGTACATTTTTGGTAGAAATAAAAGAGCTTTTCTAATAAAAATTATGGCTCAGCAAAATGTATATGCACATAAAATTAAGTTATATATACATGATTTATAATGTTAAAATTATGGTACATTTTTGGTAGAAATAAAAGATTTTTGATAGATGTCTAGAGAAAGATCCATTCATGTAGATCAATTTGATACATAGTGATTTTTTTAGAATTATTTTCAGTAAAAAGATATTTTAATTTGAAAAATAGGAAAAAAGTAAAAAAAAAAAATTTAAAGGAAACAGATAAAAAGCTAGTCACATAACTGGCATGTGCATCACATCAGTAAAAAGATATTTTAATTTGAAAAATAGGAAAAAAGTAAAAAAAAAAAATTTAAAGGAAACAGATAAAAAGCTAGTCACATAACTGGCATGTGCATCACATCTGCTCACTCGATACTCGCAAATAAGTATTCTTTATGCAAAAACATTGCTTTTTGTTGATTACTTTTTGATGAAAAGTATGTTGATTTTAAAAAGCAAAAAAAGTTTACAGAAAAACTTCAAAAGGGAAAAAAAAAAAAACTAAGCCACATAGCTGACGCGTGAATGACACGCGCTCCTCGTGCTCATAATTTACAAGCAAATTAATTCACCATTTATTGATTAGAGTTCTGATGGTTTACTAGGGTTCAATGCTTTCTGTTCATGACTTCTATATTCCCAACACAAATAAGATGCGAAACGTTGATCATTTGCGATTAGTGGAGAACATAAATAAGTAAAATGCCCAAGAGAAATGAAAGTGGATTTCGCAAGTCAAAACCTTCTGTACTGAATCATGTTGGTGACCTCAATAGTAAATGGGAAGTCTCGTGTCTTCCCCAAGTTTGTTCTCGAGAGACTTCCAAGCACAATTATGCAGGAGACATAAACAATGATCTGATCCGTAGTCTGTCATTTATAAGTTAATTCAAAAAGTTGAAGAGTTGAAAGTTGTGATCGGTTCCCAGGAACATAAGTTGGTTCCCTCGGGAATAGAGATTCCAATCTTGAGAAAATAGTTTAAGATATTTATTACTGGGTGAACTTCCTATTCAAGTGGAGGTATTTTGAGGAAGTAACTTGTATGCATTTGTCGGAATTGTATTGTAATTCAGAATAAATGCGTTCCAATACTTGCTTTGTTATAATACGTTTAGCTAAATTAGTACTAGGTAATTGAGGTAACTTTGTAAAAATACGTTAATGATGTAAACTAATAACAAGTAACTGAGAAAGAGTAATAATAGATAATTATAGATAAATAGTAAATGTAAAATATTAACTATTTTACTAATTATATTTTACATTGAAAGATATTAGTATCATAATTGACTGATACTTATCCTGAAAAATATTCCTTTAACGTCTATGTAAGATATTTGGTTATAAAGATATTTTGATATGATAGATGGGAGAAAAAGTAAAAAGAAAAAGAAAAAAAAAGCTAGGCACAAAACTGGCACGTGCATCACACGTGCCCGCCTGAGGCTCGCAAATAAGTACTCTTTATGCTAATAAATTTAATGTTTATTGGATGAAAAGTATGTCAATTTGAAAAACAAGGGAAAAGAGTTAAACAAAATTCCAAAGGAAAGAAAAACAAATGAAAGTTAGCCACATAAGTGGGACGTGAATCACAAGCGCCCACCCGTGCTCATAATTTTTATTCAAATGAATTTGCCGTTCATTGGTTAGAATTTTGATTGTTTTATTTGGATTCTAAGCTTTCTATTCATGTCTTCCATCTT